ATGAATTAGGGTCTAATTTTCCTCACGTATTAACTTCTGCAGAAATGGAAGTTAACTTGTAGAATGCTGATGGTGATGCCAAGCTTCCTATCCATAGGATGGAAATGGTTCCTGTTCATAGAGATGCAAATGAATTTTGGTCCAAAGGAGAATATAAACTCTTTAGTCCAATTCTCCTGCGAACCAACATCAGCTTATGCTTAGAGTCCAAGTTTTCTGGAGATGAATTAGGGTCTAATTTTCCTCACGTATTAACTTCTGCAGAAATGGAAGTTAACTTGTAGAATGCTGATGGTGATGCCAAGCTTCCTATCCATAGGATGGAAATGGTTCCTGTTCATAGAGATGCAAATGAATTTTGGTCCAAAGGAGAATATAAACTCTTTAGTCCAATTCTCCTGCGAACCTGTTGTAACAGCTTTCTGGTTCCATCATTAATTAACGAGTTAAGTAAAATCTTTGATACGTGTTTATTTTCTACGTATATGAGAGTTGCGATTTCACCTTTTTATAAAAAAAAGTTGTTCTTTAAAACTGTAAGGGAGGAAAAAAATATCTTTTTCCCTCTACCCTCCTAGGTGTTCAGGCTGGGGCACTGTCAGTTAGATTGACAAAAGACAGGTCAATAACAAAAAAAGCAAACATTTTATTAACCCATGCATTGTGTAAGTAACACCTGGGAGTACCCAGCAATGAGTAACGCAAAGAGGCGGATACAGTATGCCTAATTTAGTGTGGGAAGGGAGGGGTAGAAAGGGCACTTATGGAAAAGCCAATGACCTTTTGGAAAGATAAATGGGCCCTTAGAAGAAAAGATGGGAGATGTGGTAGTTTGTGACAATGTCTGAGTGATGCCCACCTCTGATCTCCCAGAAGGGAAGGTTAGAGTTGCCCTGGGAATGGGAATTTATGGACACAAATTCTTTGGGGAGGCTCTGCTTTTGGGCAGAGAAGGGATTTCAGGAGCTCAAGGGACTTCCGCTGAAATTTATCCTTACGCATATGCAAAGTGGCATGTTTGGGGTTGGCATGTCCTGGTCCCTGACAACACTTATAAAATTCATTTCCCTGTATTGTTATCATCTCTAGAACAGTGCCAAGTGTAGAGTATGTTTTCAATTAGTGTTTATTAAATAAATGATTGCCGGGTTGCAATTGCCTAGCCAAAGACAGTCGATGGCAACAGACATACATAAAATCACAGTGGCCTGAAGGATCTCCCAGACAATGCCCAGAATTATAGAAAGAGGATCCAGCGACCTGTTTGCCCAATGTCTTGTCTTTCACGCTTTCTCCTCACATAAAAATGGTGCCAAGGGAGCTTCCCTGGTGGCGCAGTGGTTGAGAGTCCGCCTGCCGATGCACGCGACACAGGTTCGTGCCCTGGTCCGGGAAGATCCCACATGCCGCGGAGCAGCTGGGCCCGTGAGCCATGGCCGCTGAGCCTGCGCGTCCGGAGCCTGTTGCTCCGCAACGGGAGAGGCCACAACAGTGAGAGGCCCGCGTACCGCAAAAAAAGAAAAAAAATGGTGCCAAGACATGCTATGGATGACAGCATTCTTAGTCTGAGTGTCCTATCAGGGAAGGTTTCATAAGGAATTAACATGGATTTGGGGTTTAAAAGAATGAGTAGGGATTCTTTATGTGGAGAGATGGAGAAAGGGGAGTTTCTAAGTGGAAAAATGCAGTGGGCAAAGGCATGTGAGCATAAAGAAAGCGCACCTCATATGAAAGCAAGGGAAATGTACTGTGACTACACCCAGGAATGTGAGGGGGACTAAATAGGAAACGAGGTTGGGAAGGTAATGCAGAGATCATTTTGATGTCCCTGGTCTGAATCTGGTCATCATTCACAGGTGGCGCGGAGCCATGAAAGGCTTTTCATCTGGGAAAGAGCTAGCATGAGTTTTACATTAATATTAACTTGGCATTAACTTACATTATTATGTAAGGTAGACTGGAGAAGACAGACATCTATAGGGGAAATATAAGACAGACATCTATATATCCATCTATAACTGGAAATATAAGACTGGAGCTCAAAAATATGTTGGCGATAGTGACAAAGATGTCAGAATTATCACAACTGTGGTGTTGGTTGAAGTGAGGGGACAAAATCGAATACTGAAAACATTTTAAGTGTATTATCGATTACAGTGTTTACCTTAATTTTCTTACTTGCTGCTCCCCCATTTTTTCCCCCCACAAAACTGTGAGGCCCCAGGCTAGGAACTGTGTCTCATTCCTGCTTGTTTTCCGGTGCCCACC